CTTCCCAGGTGATTTTGGGTGAAATCCCCGCTCCTGCCAAGCACAAAGGCAACAGCTGGGTACAGGCTGGGCTGAGCGGGTGAGAGACCATGAACCCAGAGGGACTTGTGGAGTCTCTCACAGGGCACCATCTCCTCGGTTCTCCAGGACTCATCCAAAGCTGTAACCACCAGAGGAGGCTCCAGCTCATCCTCCAGCCACCAGCTCCATCCTTGACTGTGTTCCAGAGGATGCTTATCCTCACACTCAGCTCTACACTCCCTTCCGGGATTTCTGACAGTTCTTTGGGTTTATTTAGAAACAAACCCAGCAGGGATGGCAACACTGGATGGGCTGTTTTGGGGGGAACGGTTCCCCCTTTCCAGCAATCCCTCCCTGCACTCCTGCAGGACCCTCATCCCCGCTTCCCCCACGAGAGCACCGAGCATGAGCCCATCACCTCCTTTGTGTTTCCATACAAATCCACAGCCATGGTGGCTTTGCTTTTTGGGGGGCAAATCCAAGAGAAAGACTTGCCAGCGTCCAGAGGAACCCGCAGAGCAACCAGCAAGTTGTTGAGTGTCTGCTGGAGGTGAAATCCCACCCGAGGCTGTGGAGGTCCCACAACCACCGCGACCCCTTTGCACGTGACAGGGTACAGATACTAATGATGGAAACAGATAAAACTGGGGCAGGAAGCACCACTTCCCAGAGGAGCATTAAATCAACACACATCTGGTGTTGCTGTAATTAGCACCACAGAAAGTGCAGTAATTAACTTTCTCCCTTCCAAGTTAAGATTTAATAACGTGTGGTAAAATCAGACCCAGGGCGACAGGACGAGCGGGGGAAAAAAAAAAAACACATCAAATTAAGACACTTGTGACTTGATAAGGAATTAATTATACCTTGGAATAATAATAATAATAATAGAATAATTGCTGTCAATCTGGCCTTGTGCTTCAAGTGAGGAAGGGCACTGGGAAAAATTGGCTCTGAGGAGCAGGTTCCTGTCAACCAAAGGCTCAGCCATGCTGGGATGTGGGTGAGCTCCTGCACTGGGCAGAGCTGGGAAAAAAAAACCTGGAACAAAAAAAATAACCCACATCTGGGCTGCCAGGGAGCTGCCTCAAACCTCCCCATTTCTATGTGATCCCACAGGGAACAGCTCTTCCCATAGGCAATTGTCACTGCCAGCATCTCCCAAGGTGTGGGCACAAGGACAAGGGGCTGGAGGTGTCCTGTCAGCTTCACGTGCCACCAAGTCTCCCTGATGAAGCCAAAGGGATACTTGCCACACAGGAATAACACAGGGCCTGCCTCAAAGGGACATCTGAGATCAAGACTGATTTATTTTACTTTCCCCACCGCTCTGGCACAGAGGCATCCAGTGCCCTGTCTCCACCTGGCAGCTCATGCACTCAAATCCGAGGGGAATGTACAAGGATTGTGAAACACCCATTGTTTGAAGAGCACCTGAGGCCTGAATGGAGCTCTTCCCAGTGAAGGACACTTCCCAGACACTTCCCAGCTCCAGGTCACCCATGTTCCCAGCTCAGGGGTTCAGACCAGCTGGGACAGAGACCAGCAGATTCTCATCACAACAGACCCTTTGCATGGGGCTTTGACGCCTCTTCCCAGGCCACAGAGTTCCCTAAACGTGCATTTTAACAATGGGCAAAATCCAGCCCTGAAATCATTACCTGCCAGAGACAGGTAGGACATGTTATGTTATAGCATTATCACATCTCTGGAACTCACACCAGCTGGTACCACCTGCCTCTCACTACAGCCGGGCACAGGTCAGCAAAATAAATTACTCAATTACCAGAAAATCCAGTAGGACTGAACACATAATTAGTCTCCTTAAAGCACAGAGCAATCAGCATTTTTGTTTCTTGGTCTCTTTCCTCGCCCAGGCCCCGTGTTCCCTCACGCAGGGACTCTGCTCAGGGGGTCCTGTGTGGTCACTCCTGTGACTTGGTCAGGCCCTGGAAGTTGGGCTCTGTGCAGGGGGGCAGCGCTGCTTGCCGGCTCAGCAGCTTCTCCAGGGCGGCTATTTCTGCATCTCGTCTCTCAATGTCCTCAAAGGGAGTCCAGGACATGTCGTGCTGGAGCTTGTAAGCACCGAGAAATTCGTGGGGAGTGGTTCCCCATTCCTGGTGGAGAAAGGAGAGATTTCATCAGTGCCCAGTTTCCCTCAGCTGGGCTGTGCTGTCCCTCAGCCCCCAACCTTTGATGCGCTCCCAGCTACGTGACCATCCCATTTCTTAACCTAAAAACAGGCTCAGCTATCCTGAATCCAAGATCATGTCGAGCCCCAGCACTGCTGACACAGGGAGGCTTGAGGGTACAAGATCTCCCTGACCTGCCCAGAGGTTTGCCCTGAAGCCTTCACCCTGCATGTAAGAAAATGGGTGGCCTGGAAGGAGGAGACCTCCAAGACCACCTTCCAAGCTGCAGACAAACTCAGTCTCTGGGCTGAAGCACCTGAAGACATCAACCTGTCAGGTAGCCACGCCGGCCACGAAAGGCTCAGAGAAGAACTGCAGAGACCAAAAGGCAGAATTCAGGTCCATGCACCAAAGGTCTGCTTGCCATCCTCCACCAAGAGCCAGAGAACTCCATAAGAAGGCTCTGGCCCCAGCAGACTAACTGGCAAAGGCCAACTGAGCAGCAGCCAACAAAGCCCCCACCAGGCTGGTGCTTTTTTCTGAGGTCCACACATCCACAGACACCATAAACATGACTTTTTTTCCCCCTCTGTGCTCCCTCAGGGGCTGTAACCACCCACCTTAGGAGACAGGATGGAGAAGTACCGCTGCCCGCTTTCCCGCCTGTACATGTAGTAAATGTTTCCTGGCTTCTTCACGAGGTTGCAGGCCACGTGGTTCAGATCAGCATCTCTGTTAGCTTCATCCAAGACCTGCAAAACACAAACTTACATTTGAAATGAAATGACATGACAGTGTGCTGTTGCCAGAGCCCAAGACACATCACTTGACACACAGCTCACAAGGCCTTGATCTGCATGTCTGATTTCACCTGCCCCCAGGAAGGAGATGCTTCCCAAAGAGATTAGGTTTTCTCCATGTCTTCCCTGTCAGATGGACCTCAGAGCACCTCTCCCCGGAGGTGGAGATACCTCCAAGGATCTCTGCACCTCTCCCCAGGTTCACCTCTGTGCCTGACCCCACACACACAGCTGCTGGACCCTGGGGGCTTCCTGCTGCTGTCCCCAAGGAAAGGGGCAGGGAACAAAGGGGAATTCATCTCCCCAGCTCCACCAGTTAACGATTACATGACGTAAGTGCCTGCATGGTCGCAGGCCAGTTGCACTGACTGGCAGATCCTTTCCCACTCTGACTCCAGATTTCACCCCCCGAGGGTGAAGGGTGTATTGACGAGCACAGCTGAGCCCTGCTGGGTGCTGCCAGGACCAAAGGAGCTGAGACAAACGGGAAAGCCAAGCCCACCATCAGGGAAAGCTCATCGATCTCACGGGGCTCAGATCCAACCAGGGCCACACTGTCATTCCCACTGGGTCCTCCTGGGAGCACAGCACACTCAAGAAAATGTCACACCCCTTCCTAAATCCAGACTCATCTCTCTGTCCTCCCGACTCGCACCCAGGGCCACAGCTCCCCCCGAACGCCCGGCAGCGAGGGCAGGCGCTCATCGACGAGCCTCCTGCCCATCCTGGCTCACCTTCCGTGCCTGCTCCTGCAGGTGCCGGATCTGCTCAGCGATCACGGCCAGTTTGCTGCAGGCGTTCGCCCGCACGAAGTCATCGGCCTGGGAGAGAGGGAGGAGCGAGGAGGGCCGGTCAGGACGGGAGGAGCCGCAGCCCTCCCCAGACACGGCCACGCTGGAGGTGTCACAGCACCCCCAGGGCACTGGAGTGTCACTGGGAGGCACTGGGAGCTGCCAGGACAGGCTGGGGGGCAGTGGGAGGGAGCAGGAGGGACACACTGGGTTGGACCGGGAGGTAGCGGGATGCACAGCAGAGGCAGTAGGATTTACAGGGAAGCATTTAGGTGGGCCGGGAAGCTCTGGGGAACAAAGTGGACATCACTGGAAGGCGGTAGGATGTACTAGGAGGCACTGGAGGGAAAGCAGGACATGCGGGGGGATGGGGTGGGGGGGCACTGGGCTGTGCTGGGAGACACTGGAAGGGGCAGTAGGACATATCAGGAAAACTGGGGTGGACTCAGGAGGCACCGAGATGGACTCCGAGCCACTGAAGTGGGAATTTGACATACCAGGGGTGCTGGGATGGACTGGGAGAGGAGCGGCTGGAACATAGTGGGGTGAAGTGGTCAGTGGGACGCACTGGGAGGCAGCAGGGTATACCGGGATGGGACTTGGGTGTGATGCTCTGCGAGTCACCGGGGGGCAGCAGGGCACAGTGGGAAGCGGCGAGGTGCAACGGGAAACACCAATAGCCTGGGAACTCGGGAAGGCACTGCGGGGCACTGGGACTGGACAGTGGGAGATGGTAGGAGGCATCAAGAGGCCGCCGGGGTCACCAGAGAACAGTGCTGGGAGGCACCAAGGCTATGGCCGGCTGAGAAGGCCCCGGAGAACGGCCGGGAGGCAGCGGGGACACCGGGCCCAGAGCCATGCCCCCGACCGGCCCTCACCTGCTGCACCTGCCGCGCCAGGGCCACCAGGTCTCCGGGGTCCCCGACGCGGGCGGCGCGGCCGGCGCTGCCCTCCACCAGCGCCAGGGCCAGCCCGGGGCCGGCGCCGCCATGCCCGGGCTCCGCGCCGCCCTCCGCCATCGCCGACCCGCCCGCTTCCTGCCGCGCCGTCACCGCGCGCGCCGAGGGGGCGGGACCGCGGCTGAGGCGCTGCGGCCGCTGATTGGGCGGCGTGCGGGGAGGGGGCGTGGCGCGGCGGAGGGGGCGGGGGCGTGGCAGGGCGCTAAGGTCGCTGATTGGGTGATGGCCGCGGAGGGGCGCGGCGGGGGGGGCGTGGCTTGTGTCCCCACGGTGCGGCGGCCGGGTCGGGGCTCAGTTATGGCGCTGCCGCTGCCGCCGCCGGTCATGGCGCTGCTGCTGCCGCTGCCGCTGGCGCTGCTGGCGGTGGCCGCCACGCCGCCGGAGCCGTTCCCGCTCCCTGTTCCGGCCGACCCGCCGCTGCCGGCCCAGCCGCCGGACGCGCTGTTTGCCGCCGGCGCCGAGGCGTACGCGCGGGGGGACTGGCCGGCCGTGGTGCTGCAGATGGAGCGGGCGCTGCGGGCGCGGGCCGCCCTGCGCTCCCGCCTGGCGCGGTGCCGCCTGCGCTGCGCCAACGCCACGGCGGAGGGCGAGGAGGAGGGCGCCGACCCCCAGCCCGACCCGGTGCTCCGGGACCTGCGGTTCTTCCGGGGGCTGCTCCGCCGCGCAGCCTGCCTGCGGGGCTGCGGGCCCGCCGCGCCCTCCCGGTACCGCCTGAGCGAGGAGCTGGAGCGAGAGTTCGACCGGCGCAGCCCCTACAACTACCTGCAGGTCGCCTATTTCAAGGTGCGGGACCGGCAGGGAGGGGAGGGAGGGAGTGAGGGGAGGGAGGAAGGAGTTCCCGGTGCGGCGGGATGCGGGACGGGCGGGATGCGCGGAGGATGCCGGAGCCGGGCGGGGCTGGGGGGGGATGGAGGGATGGGATAGAGGGAACCGTCCGGGGACGATGGCGGTGCCGGGACGCGGGGGATGAGTTCGGTGCGTGCCCCGGCGGGATGGCCGTGCCCTGCCCCCCTCAGTGCCACGTCGGAGCTCGCCGGGGCCGCCCCCGTCACCGCCCCCCGCCCCGGGTTGCTCCGGGACATCCCGGGGGTCCCCTCCTCCCCGCGTGGGGTCTCCGCTGTCTCACCCCACTCGTCCCACCCAGATGAACCGGCCGGCGCAGGCGGCAGCGGCCGCTCACACCTTCTTCGTGGCCAACCCTGGGCACCAGGAGATGAGGCAGAACCTGGAGTACTACCAGGCCATGGTGGGGGTCCGTGAAGAGGACTTCACCGACCTGGAGGCCAAACCCCACCTGGTGAGACCCCCCCCCATCCCCTTCCAAAATCCCTGTGTGGTAACTGGTGCTGCGAGGACCCTCCCCATGGGGACAGGTAGCCCAGGTGATCCATCACAGGGATGGAACCCCCATGTTGAGCTCCCTCATCATCCCTCATCCCTCTGCAGAGCGAGTTTCGGCTGGGGGTCCGGTTTTACTCGGAGGAGCAGCCAGCTGCAGCCATCCTGCACCTGGAGAAGGCCCTGGAGGAGTATTTCGTGGCAGACGCCGAGTGCCGCGCTCTCTGTGAGGGACCCTACGACTATGAGGGCTACAACTACCTGGAGTACAATGCAGACCTTTTCCAGGCCATCACAGGTGGGAACTCTGCCTGCTGTGTCCTGTCACAAGAGCTGGGGACAGTTCTCAGTGGGTGGTTGGTTCCCAAAGGACCTGGGGGATGGTGGGTCCTTGAAGAGGGAAAACCCCCATGCTCGATTTCACTTGGGGGAATGTGGCTAGTAAGTGGCAGGAGGTGTTTGCCTGCACTCAGCACTTGGTGTGATGCTCAGGAATCCTCCAAATTCCAGAGGGATATGGAAAAACGGGAGAGGGACCAGCAGAGGGTCACCAGGATAGGAGGCCAGGAATGGCCGCTCTGTCCCCAGAGAGCAACACATCCCCCTCACCCATCACTTACCCCCAAAACCTGGCAAAGAGCCCCAGTGCCAGCAGGAGGTTGGAAACCCCTCAAGGTCCTGCCCACCAGCCTGTGGGTGACCACGAGCAGTGACATGGGGTGGTTTTTTTTTCTCCACCAGATCACTCCATGCAGGTGCTAAGCTGCAAGCAGGGCTGTGTCACAGAGCTGGCCTCACAGCCTGGCCGCGAGAAGCCTCTGGAGGATTTCCTGCCCTCGCACTTCAACTACCTGCAGTTTGCCTACTACAACAGTAAGCAGCTTCTGTGGGTTGTCAGGGCTGGGCACCCTGCTCTGGATGGGCTGAAATCATCAGTCCACAGAGTGGTTGGGTTGGGAAGGGACCTTCAAAGATTGTCTTGTCAGTCCAGCCCAAGATGCGGCAAAATCTTGGCGTTGGTCACTCTGAGGTCTCTCAATGCCCCATCCAACCTGCCTTGGAACACTTCCAGGGATGGGACAGCCACAGCTTCTCTATGCAGCCTGTGCCAGGGCCTCACCAGCCTCATCATGAAAAACTTCTTCCTTATGGCCAACCTAACCCTGCCCTCCTTCAGTTTGAGACCCTTGCTCCTTGTCCTGTCACTAAAAGCCTTGGTAAAAACTTGACCTCACATTTCTTGTAGCCCCTTGAGATATGGGAAGGCCACAAGATCTCCCAGGAGCCTTCCCATCTCCCGGTTCAACAGCCTAAATTTTCTCAGCCTTTCTTCCTAGACGTACTCCAGTCCTCTGACCATTCTTGTGGCCTCCTCTGGACCCACTCAAAGGGGTCCATCCACACCCTTCTTGTGCTGGGGATCCCAGAGCTGGAGGCAGCACTGTGGGGTGGGTCTCATCCAAGAAGAGCAGAGGGGCAGAATCCCCCCCCTCACCTGATGCCCACGAGGCAGCCCAGGACTTGAGGGGTTTCTAGGCTACCATGGCCAGATCCTGTACAATTTTTCATCCACCTTCTCCACAGGTGCTCTAATCCCATCCATCCCCCTGTCTTTACTCATACTGGCAGAGAAGCTTCCACCAGACCTTGTTGTACTCTGTGAGGTTCACACAAGCATGTTCCTCCTCTGCCTGAAATGTTCTGCAGGACATTTGGATCAGTCACCATCCATATCGCTGTATTCCCTGGCAGTTTTACTTTCCAAGTGAAATAACAGCCTGGAGAAGTATTTTTTTTCCCTTCTGCCTGCTGTCTACCTCTTGCTTCAAACCACAGCGGTGTGCTCCCCCTCCAGAGGAGTTACAACCCTGGCAAACACACCTGATTTGATTTTATTTCATTTTTTTAATTCGCCTCCATGGAAAAAAAACCTAAACTGTTTCTGTGCAAATTTCTCCGAAGGGAGGGGAGGAAAAATATGGCATCCAGGAAGATGGAAATCCTTGAGAAGAGACAGCTGAGAGGGGACTCCATCCATGTCTGTCAGTGCCTGCAGGGTGGGTGTCAGAGGATGGACAGAAATGGGGCAGGGTGCTTCAGTGGCTGGAAATTGCAGGTTAGCCAGGAGATGGTTGGGTCTGACTGCCTGGAAATGGGCCTTAGGAATTTTTCCAAGCAAGAAAAGGGCCCAAGCTGTGACCCAGGTTTCTGGAGGCAGGAGAGCACCTTGGATTCTGGATTTTGCCTTTGTGGCAGCAGTTATCCTTGCTCCAGGGGATCTGCCCTACTTGTGAGACCCTTTGCAGGACGACAAGGATTTTGTCACTCATCTCTCCTCCACATCCGCGTTTGCTCTGCCTCCAGTGCCCTTGGACATGCTGTTAAACAGCCCCACTTTCTCTTTGCAGGTGGGAATTACGAAAAAGCCATTGAATGTGCCAAAACCTACTTGCTCTTCTTCCCACATGACGAGGTGATGAACCAGAATCTGGCCTATTACACCACTGTCCTGGGGGAAAACCTGGCCAGACCCATCCAACCCCGAGAGGTGAGCCCTCAGCTGAGACATCTTCTCTCCTCCTCGGGGACCTTTGCAGAAGTTTTGGGGTCTTGTCTGGTCCAGTGTACAGGAAAGGATGGATTTAGGGTCCAACAAGCTGGAAAATAGCAGAGAGGCTGAAAATCGTCACTGGGAAAATACCTTTGGCCGAGTGAAGCTGGATGATTGGCACACAGGGACCCACTCCTCAGGGAGAGGGCTGGGAGAGGCAGGTGGACAGACTTTTTAGGAGGGTCTGAGGGTACCTCTGCTGCATTCTTCCACAACTGAAGTGAAATTGCTTAAAAAGGAGAGGATTTGGCTTCAAAATAGCTGGATCTGGGTGACCAGGTCCTGCCTGGGATGTGGTAGGCAGGAATGGAGGTCTCTACCCCACACCAGCTGGAGTAGGGAAGGGGTTCTGCTCCTAAAGAGCTTCCTGCAGAAGAGACACGTGTGTGTCTCTGCTGGACTGTCCTCTCCTCTCCCCAGGAGTCATCCACGCAGGACAGGGAAATTCAGGCAGGATGAGGAAAGCCACTTCCTTCCCAGCTGCCAGAGGGAGCAGGAAACCAGGGCTGTAGGTCTGGAGCAAGGGAATGGTGTAAACCTGCACCTTCCTGCCCATACTCAGTGTTCTTCAGAGCCCTGGTGCTGTACCTCACCCCCTCCCTGTGCCCCCTTGCCACAGGAGATCCAGGTGTACCACCAGCGGAGCCTGATGGAGAAGGAGCTGCTCTTCTTCAGCTACGATGTCTTCGGCATCCCTTTCGTGGACCCGGTGGGTGGTGCAAGACCAGGGGGACGTGGTGGCCAGGTGGAATGGGGATGAGGGGGTCTGCCTCCCGGCCAGGTCCTTGCCCAGCTCCTGATGCTGTTCTTCTGGCTGCAGGACACGTGGACACCCGAAGAGGTGATACCAAAAAGGCTGCGAGAGAAACAGAAGTGAGTGCTGTCCCCAGCCGAGCCCACCCGGTGGGGTCCAACAGGACATGCCCCTCTTCCTCTGCAGGGTTTGGGCCGAAGGCCATGGCACAGAGCTGCTGCCAGGGAAGGTGTTGATGCTGGGGGTGGAAGGGGCTGCTGGAGGGCAGAACTTTGCTCCCCATCAGCTCATGGGATGATGGGCACGAGTAGGTCGCCCCAAGCACCACGAGGGGAGCGAGGGGTGCATTGGAGTGACTCTCCCCAGTCTTGGGCTTTGTCACCAGCCCCTGAGCCAACTTGTCCCGCCCTTTTGTCGGCGCCTCTCGCTCCTGACGTGGTGGGGACAGTGGGATGGTGGGGCTGATGGCTGCCCCGTGCCCAGGGCGGAGCGGGAGACGGCGGCACGCATCTCGGAGGAGATCGGCAACCTCATGAAGGAGATCGAGACGCTGGTGGAGGAGAAGGCCAAGGAGTCTGCCGACATGAGCAAGTTCATCCGAGAAGGTGCAGAGCAGGGGAGGTGGGATGGGAACCTGTGACCCCTTGCTGCCCGTCCCTCCACGTGTGGGTGGCAGCAGGAGCAGGCGGCAGCACCGCAGCTTCCCCCAGGGTTGGTGGCGCGCATCCCCACGTCCCCCAACCCCGTTTGTGCCCCAGGTGGCCCCTTGGGGTACGAAGGAGCGAGTGTCACCATGAACTCCAAGGCCCTGAACGGCTCCCAGCGTGTGGTGGTGGATGGAGTCCTCTCTGCCGAGGAGTGTCGGGAGCTGCAGAGGCTGACTAACGTTGAGTGTGGGGACGGGGTGGGGGGCGGGCAGGGGGTGCAACTCAGACCACTGACACCCACTGGGCTTTGCAGGCAGCTGCCTCAGCCGGGGATGGCTATCGAGGGAAGACCTCTCCTCACACTCCCAGCGAGACCTTCTACGGCGTGACCGTCCTCAAGGCCCTCAAGGTCGGGGTGGGCGCGGGGGAGAAACGGGCTGTGGGGACACGGGGCAGGAGTCTGGGGGCAGGTGGTCACCCGTCCCCGCCTGGGGCTGAGCCCCCCTGTGCTGCCTGTGCCCCTGCAGCTGGGCCAGGAGGGCAAGGTGCCCCTGCGCAGCGCCCACCTGTACTACAACGTGACGGAGAAGGTGCGGCGCATGATGGAGTCCTATTTCCGCCTGGAGGTCCCGCTCCACTTCTCCTACTCCCACCTCGTGTGCCGCACGGCCATTGACGGTGAGCACGGCCCCAGGGAGCGAGCCTGGTCCTGTCGGGTCCCCTCCAGCAGCTGGAATTGGTCTGGTCTTGGATCTCTCCTCAGAGACCTCCTTGCTGCTCCTGGACTTCCTCCTCCTCTTCCCAGGAGGGTGTGGGGAGCTTGTCCCTTAAGCCCAGTTCAAGGAAGATGAGCAGCAGCTCTGTTGGTTGCCTCCAGTGGGGCAGGAGGGCTTCATGCCACACAGGATTTCAGCACTCAGAGGCATTTGGGATGGGTGCTGGGTGAGGCTGTGCCTGGAGGGCCATGGGAATGCCACGGGACAAGCCACGAGGGGCTTGTGCCACCCAAATGGCCTTGCGTGGTCCACGCTCCAGCAAGTGGAAGTGCTTTAGGCTACACATGACTTTCCTGTCACCTCCAAGCCCAGGATGCCTGGGGATGGACCCTGTTCTTGCACAGACAGAGGGGTCCTGATGTGCCAGGTCTCGTTCCACCCTAGAGAAGCAAGAGGGTCGGAGTGACAACAGCCACGAGGTGCACGTGGACAACTGCATCCTCAATGCAGAAGCTCTGGTGTGCGTGAAGGAACCCCCAGCCTACACATTCCGGGATTACAGGTACTGGTGGTGGCTGCCAGCTGAAGGTACCACGGCTTGGTGGTACCTGAGCTGGGAGGAGCCAGCTGGGAGGGCACCAAACCTGGGCTCTCCTGCCTCAGGCTCTTGCTGTGGGTGTTGGGGGAGCTCTGGACTCGCTGCTGGAGCTGTGGTCAGGGTTATTAGTTACCTCCACTCGGCCCCTGCTCCCTTTTTTTTCAGTGCCATCCTTTATCTCAACGGAGACTTCGAAGGAGGAGCTTTCTACTTCACCGAGCTGGATGCCAAGACGCAGACCGTGAGTAGCTCAGCTCCCAGGATCCACGTGCAGCCCCAAACCCAGCTCCTTCCTGCTGGCCCTGTCCCCTGGGAGCGTCCCCTGGGCCACTGCAGAGGATGAGCTGGGGTTGAGGGGGGACTGACTCGCTCCTGACTGGGGTCTCCCCCGCCTTGGCAGGCGGAGGTCCAGCCGCAGTGTGGCCGTGCCGTGGGCTTCTCCTCGGGCTCGGAGAACCCCCACGGGGTGAAGGCCGTGACCAAGGGCCAGCGCTGCGCCATCGCCCTCTGGTTCACCCTGGACCCCCGGCACAGCGAGCGGGTGAGCGCCCTCCCAGCAGCATGGGGTGGGGGTTTCAGTGGGACACTGGCCGTGCTTACCCCCCTCCCCCCCGTGGGTCTGCCCACAGGAGCGTGTGCAGGCAGATGACCTGGTGAAGATGCTTTTCGGCACGGAAGAGGGGGATTTGGAGCCAGAACCCGAGCAGGAGCCACCCGCTGCCGTTGTGGTGGGGAAGGACGAGCTGTGATGTCCCACAAGGGCCCAGGATGTCCCTGCCGGGACCAGTGACACCAGCATTGCAGCTTTGGGCTGCTCAGTCACCGGGGTGACATGTGGGACCCCCCTCTGCCCCTAACCCGTGTGGGGTGGGGCACTGGGGAATGCCCTGCCCTGCCCCTGCATCATCCAGCATCCCCCCGTGGAGCTGAGCTGGGATGTGATAGAGACTCAGAGGGGTGCTGTGTTAGGGCTGAGGCCCCAGTGCCACAGGTGCATTTGTGTGCCTTTTCCTGAACCTGCGGCTATTTAAGTGCCTTTTTCTGCAGAAAATGGGTGAATAAAGATATTTTTTTTTCTAAGCTGTTGCTGGCTGGAGGCTGGTGCCCCCCATCCCCCTTTGGCTGCCATCAGTGTTGAGGTGCAGCCTTGCCTCCTGGCAAACATTTCCTGAAGGGTGTTGCAGCCCTGCACCCCCACAGAGGTGTTCTGTGGGGGGACAAGGTGCCCCTGGGGCGCAGTGCATCCCCTGGACCCTCCTCCTGCAGCGTGGGAAGGGACCCACCATTCCGGCGAGGGAGGGAACTGTCCTTGAACAAGAAGGACATTGAGCCCTCTGGCACCCCCGGACAGGGCGTCGAATTGTTCCTGGCCATTACCATAACCATCCCGGGAATGTGGGCAGAGAGATCCTGCCCCGCCGCACCAGTACCCAGCACCCCCAGCCCACTGGGGGAGGGCAGAGGGCAGGACCCCTTCAGCATCAGGGTGGGCGAGGGGGGTGTGGGGCAGGGTTCCTGCAGGATGGTCCCACTGGAGGGTGCCCACCGTCCCCGGGGCCGACCCTGCCCACCTGGGCGCGTGAGCAGACTGCTGATGAGGCCAGGGCGGTTAACCATTGCCAGGTCCTGGGGCTGCCACGGGCTTGGTGTCACCGGGGTGGTGGCACGTGTCCCCCCCCTACACCCCGTGTCCCCCTCCTGCAGGGGGGACACCGCCGACAACGGCATCTTTTGTTGGTGCAGAGGTGGGTGGCGTGGTGTGCCCGAATTCCCTCGCTGAATGAGCCCCTTCCCTGCTCCCTCTCGAATTCCTGGAGCCACCCCCAGGGCCTCTGTGGCTGGAGGGGGGCTCCCAGCCCACGGCAGGGGTGCAGAGGGTCACCTCCTCCACACCCCCTTCCCCTCTTCCCATTGGGCACCCTCATTTTCCCATATCCCTGCACTGTCGCTTGAGGAGTCCCCATCTCCCTCAAGACCTAAATCTCTCCTGTAGGACAGAAATACTCCCCATGCCCCAAAGCTTTACCCCAAGGCCAAACTCTTCCCTCCAGGACTCGAATCCCCACCTCCAGCCCCAAATCACTCTCCTCAGATTCAAATCTCTCCCCCCTCAGACCCCAAATCTCTCCCACCAGGGAACCCAGTGCTCTTCCCTGGGGACCCAATGCTCCCTCTCAGGCCCATAATTCCACCTCTCTCTGCCCCCAGTACCCAATTTTCCCCCCAGGCCCCACATCACCACCTGCTTTGGCCC